ATCTCTTACAAATTTAAAAAACTTTTTGAAATCTCACTGCTAGACCTTATTCATGGCAAGAAAACTAATCATAAAATATAGAATCTCATCCAATAATCTAGCCAAGAACTTAAAGTTAAGGCACTTGTGCTTTTTTGGACACTACTAAAAACTAAAAAAACTTAACTTCATTACTAGCAAAGTGCTTTCAGTATCACCCTCTCTACCTTGTATTTTCTCCATGGTCTTTTCACAGATACACATTAATTTTAAGTTAGCTACTTTAGAAACTGCTTAATTTAAAAAAAAAAGACTCGCAATTTTATAATCAAACGTTTCATCAGATTTCTTTTAGACTTCTGCTCTTAATTTCTAAAACACAAAAATCAAACAAAAAAAAACTTCTCTACCATTCATTAGAATGACGCTAACCTTTTGAAGTATATTCAAAAAAATTCAAAAAAAAACTTATAATTTAGCCGTAGTTCAGTAGTTTTAATGCAGTAAAATTATAATATAATGCAATTAATTTTACGGCTGAGGTTAAAATTTCCAATAAAAGTAACCTTCATTTGAATATTGTATTTCTCTCCAATTCGCCCTTCCACTCGCCCATTTTCGACTGTTTAAAACTCTTTATAACAACGCATGACAATTCGTAGTAGAAAAAATGAAATCGAAACTCACCAACCACCGATAACGAATCTAAACACCGTTCACGGCTTTCAAACTTTCCTTTAGCCCGGTTAGAATAGCGCTGAAATAACCAATGCAGCTCATCTAACACCACCGCACTACAAAGATGAACATGGAAGTTCCCCTATTTTGAAACCAGCTCAAACTGTATAACTTGTTCTTTGGACACCAAAACCAACCTCAAATTACGACGTCATTTATTTTTGATAAGCCCCTGATTAACATTAATCAAAAATAGGCAAATTAAAACAGGGGACACAACCACAAAACAAAACTGACAAAACACCAGGACAAAGGAAAGAAAATGTTCTAATAAACAGAATACTTCATGAGATAAATCACTTTCAGATATCCCTCAAGTAAGGACGTAAGGACCAGCTCGATAAATCCTTTTCTTTTGGTTTGGCAAATCTAGTGGTTTTGCTTGCCGCAGTCTCAACCTTCTCTGGATATAAAGTATTGAATTGACAACGGAGAAAAAAAATCCGTTGAAACAGAACAATGGCCAACTGGATGTCAAACATAACATACACGTCCTCTTCAATTGACAGTTCTCTTAGAAAATTCTCCTACGTAGTCTCGCTCTGAATTATGAAATCATCTCCCTACAATAAATTTTCTGCACATCCCTACGATCTCTCTGGATTCACGAAAATCCCGCATCGTCAAATATAACTCGCTGACACACACAAACAACTCTCCAAGCAGCTTCGTCAAGAACTCAAGAAACTCAGATACCACTACCATATGGAAGACTTAAAATGTCAAAATTACCCCAAACCCCGTATGGGTCGAACCAGTTTCAAACTAATTTTTTAATTTCATTTCTTAGAAACATAAAACAGAACAGAAAACAGAAAATTTAATCATAAACTTTTTAAAAAAAATTCACTGTAAAAAGTTATTACTAGCCAATTATGATCGATGACTAAAACTTATTTTATATTTGCAACACTGCAACCACAGTGCTTTAGAGAATTTATAACTAAAGAATGAAACCAATTGCTTTTGTTCGATCCTCTAACTCTGCAATAAACAACTATTTTGCTAGATCTATAGAGAATAGGAAATATAAGAGTAAGAATAGGATCGGTATTAGACTAAGGAGTTGCACGAACCTATCTGGCCGAAAACAGCTAGCGTGGCAAACAGACGATTCACCTCATCCGAAATTACTCTATGGAAAGGCCAAGCCGAACCTAAACTCAGAGCTTGAACTGCAAACTGGCAAAAAACTTGCACGACTCTTACAAGATCTGGTTTCCCTGACCCAAGTGGAAATTATACGGATTATATAAAGTTTAAGGGATTCATTTTAACATGGGAATTAAACTTTTTTAATTTTAAAAATTTTTGCTTCTTATCTTTTTTATTATGGTTATTTAGCGGTAAAAACTTCCATTTTTTAATTAATAAGTTTCTTATAGTATTCAGAGTTGGGTGCAAAACTGTGTTTAATCTAGCAGTGTTCTAGAACTTTTTTAACAAACCTTTTTGAGAAGATCTATGTCTTTTCTTCTTAATATAATAGATTAAATTTTTCTCATCATTTTTCATTGTATTGCAAAAAACGAAACCGTTCGCAAAATCGATGTATTAGTTTTAAGATAAACAAAACAAAAGAAAACTGTCGTACCCATGGTCTTGGTAGTGCCGATTTACAAAAAAAAACTTTATTGAAAAATGATTGTTCCGATCGCTCAAAATGGCATGAAACTTTGTATTCAGATGTGCTTGAGTTGTTTCTAGTTTATGTTTTCAAGGTAAAATCAAAAACCACAAATCATTATTGGAAGAGGTTGAGTAATACATGAGGAAATAACTGGAATTTATTAACTTGATCTACCTGGGCAGGGTGATCAGTTTTTATCATTAAGAAAGTTTTATATGATTTCTTCTCGTTTCATCGAGGACGCTAATTTGCTCCATTTCTCTCCAACTGCCAGAGAAGTATGTACTGCGAGAGAATATGTTTGCTTACTTGAGCAGCACACTTTAATCGATAGTTACGTGAGAGTTATGGCCAATTTGAATTCCTATTCATGCATCAACTGTGTCGGGTCAAAAAGTGCTGTTGCTAAAAGTAAGTTTTTAAATCAATGTAATTGTCTCTCGTTTATTCTTCCGACTTTGGCCAAAAAAATGGAGAACATACAAGGCTGGGTTTTTTAATCAGCTTCCTTTCATAAAGAAAGTAAACAGCCTGGAGGTTGATCGTGGTCTTTTTTGTTTCCGAGCAAATGTGCTCTAAGTTTGGTCGTAGCCAGCTCATTTGGTTTGAAATAATTTCAGTTCGACTTTTCTTGGTCTTATATTGTTGGATTGTGGCCGATTGAATTGACACATGTAAAATTGTAATTATAACATCGTAAGGGTGTAAAATTTCGGCACTCAAAATTTGAAGTATTTTGGCAGTCAAAATGTATTGTTGTTCCGACTTTCGTAACGAAAGTAACGGAATGTTTGTGCTCGGTGTGGTTTTTTCTTCAGACAAATTTCTTAATAACTCGCCATTTTTAACAAAGTTTTTCTATATCATTTAAAAGGCATTGTTGCTCTAAGCTTAACATTGAAAAAATATTTTACAGATTGCCAATTTGCCCAATTTGGGACAATTAACGCGCGATGTATTTCGCGCTTTTAACGCGTGAGCGGAGATTTAATCCAACTTGTTCCAAATGGAAACTTAGTTCCAAAAGAAACTTAATTGCCATAACTTATTCATTACTAGGAAAAAAATTTATCACTTTGTACTTCATATTGCGTGAGGGGGATGATTTTTACAAAAAAAACTTAAAATGTCAAAAAGTTTCATTTTAGCTTATTAAATTTTTATGAAAGTTATTACTGCTCTATTACTTTAAAAAGCAGTCGGAACTTTCAGGGCTTCGCCCTGATACGAGCATTCTTGTTTAAAACAAAATTACTCGTTTTTATTGAAGGCAAATCTAGTTTTAAGAGCTTAGTCCAGCGTTGTATTGACAAAGAGATTTTGTAGTTGTTGTGGAAACATTTTCAAAATTTAGAAAGACAAATGTTTTCGATTTAGTTCAAATCGCTTATTTTCTTAGCTTTTATATAAACCACGCGCAAAAAAAAACACTAATTGAAAAAAAAAAACAAAAAAAAACTATTTTTTCTAATTAATTTATGAATATTTTCGGAACTTTCTGAACAAGGCTGGCTATCCTTGTTGATGGGTCCTAAATGGTCACTCTAATCGATGGAAAGGATTGCTGAGAAAAGTACGCGTTCACGTATTACGGATAAAACGCTGCCCTAGAACCCCCTCAGCTCTTATTTCCAAAAATTTAACAGGTAGTGTTTTTTTTTGTACAATCTTGTTTTGCATAGTGGAATTTTGTACCGTTTTGAAATGAACGTTGAGCCAAAATAATTTATATTCGGATAAGTAAACACTAGTTCAAAATCATCTCCGAATGTTCGAGATGAGTTGAAACAAACCTATACTGATCAAAAATAGACTTCTGTTGCTTGTAGCAATGTGGAATCACAAACCTTCCAACGTCTTACCATACAATTTTCATTCATGAAAAACTTTTGTCGTACAAGAAGTTAATTGTTAAGCAGTATGGGTTTGTTTTTACTCAGCTCAAGCACTTTGAGGTAGTTTTGAAATGAAACATTATGAAACCCAATTTTTCATGCATGAAAACTGTATGCATAGAAATTTTTCCATAAATCAAAAATTACTAATTAAAAATTTTTTGTGATCTGTACGAAAACACAATAACCAAGAATTATCTAGCATTAGTTAAGGGAAAATATCTAATGGATAATCGTTATTTTAGACTGCGTTATAGACAAAATATAACAAGCATATTTTTTTCGAAAAAGGTTAGAGCATTAAAGTGATATTGCGATCAAAAAAGAAACAAAAGTTCTCTTATGCATGGACTTGCCCTGGATTTTTTGCAGCGATGTAAAAATTGTTTGTCACATAATTTTTATATACGGAAATTGCAGGGAATAAATTTTCTTGTATGAAGTTGCATGAAATACATTTTTCGAGTATGGAGGTTCACCCGGGCCCACTGTTCTCGGTGGCCTTAACTAACCGGATTCTCTAAATTAAGCAAAGTCAGCACAGTGCTGGCTTTTTGTTCCGACCACTCTCGAAGAGAGTGGAAAAGAACTATAGATAAGGGCCGGTTTTTTTATCCTCTTTGTTTATGGTTCAGGTGTGATGTCATATTAAAACCCTTTTGGTCGTGCTTTTTTCGTAAGCGCTGCTCCCGTAACAAATTTAGGCGCTGCTCCTGTGTTGGTTCAAAAAACAATCTGAAATTGAGTTTTTGCTTGAATTCAACAGGTGCCTGAATTCGAATGCTTCTTATTTCAGAAGACTTATTTTTAAAGTGTTCAGAAGACTGAACCGCCCTGAAGAAGAGTGCTAGCTTAGCTGATTACAATTGAAAGTTTTCGGCACTTCCAGTAGAGTTTCTGGATCCACAATTGAGTTAAACTGAAGGCAAACAAAAAATAATATTTCATTATAATATACAGCGCTTCAATTGTGAAATCAGAAGTTTGACTCCTTATCCATTTGAGAAACATGCTCTCTTCCAATTGATACTAAGAAAGCGTTGAAATTGTAAGGCAAAATAGCATAATCCAATTTGTACATAACACATCCCAGAAACCACAATTGGGAGTCATCCAACATATCGAAATAAAGTTTCAATTTTGCAGTAGTATCGCTGGATTTAATCTCTGGAAGCGCGTGTTCGTTAATGAATAAGATTGGATACTTTGGGAGCACCTGTTTCAAGTGGCCCTCGAGGTTCTCAAACAGGACCACATCTCTCCAGATGGCAGAACAAGGGTAGCATCTTTCAGACACAACTGACTGCCAATGCCACCACGTCCAAGACGGTGTGCTAATCTGAACAAAACAGTAGATCCCATAAAATAGCCTACTAATCCGCGAGTCCTAGCCTCAAGATTTATCGATATGGACGCGTTAGACACGGACATCGATATACCCTCGGGGTTTCGAAGTTACAAAAGACATCGACCGATTGATTAGTTAAAACTCTCAAAACTCGTTTATTTATTACAGATTTTTCGTTCGATTAAGTTACTTTTGGGAAAATTTGCAAAATAATTTTGGTCGACTTAATTTTCATTTTTTCTTGAATTTTTGCTCTATTCTGTTAACAATGGCGCATAAATATATTTAAGGCCGTTGGAATTGAGATTGAGCATTCTTTCCCTTAATATGATGCCTTTTCAACGTCCAAAAAGTATCCTATTCTCGTTCGTGGTATGCAAAGGAATGGCAATTTTTATGGCTTGACTCTCGAAACGATTAATTATCTTAAAAATTTCCCAAGTATAAAATTTGAGAAAAATTGAGGAAAACGAGGTCGTAGAGAGAGACAAAAAATCAAACACTGAAACAATTTCTGATTCCTTTATCTAATTTTTATAATACTGGTTTTCACAGAGCCTCAGAAATCCAAAATTAATGAAAATGTACCTTACATGAGCAGTCTCTAGTTTTCCAGTCCGTTATATAGAAAACGAATCATTGGAATACTTTTTGTCAAAATAATCTCTGGAGAAATAGGAAAATTGAGGATAGCTTACGTCTGGCTCGGGGTTATTGATTTTACCATCATTCCTTAGGTACATATGTATGATGTAATCCACGAAGTCATCAAATTCCACGTCCCAAGACCTTAATGTGGTCAATGCCTTGTTATACAAGTTGGACTTCGTTTTGTGAATGTTCTGCACATAAATGGCTATGTTTTTGGCAAAACTGGTCCATGGTGCGCAAGTATTTTTGTGATTTTTGCATTCCTTTAGTTTGTTCAGGTAGGCTAAAACATTTTATACAATAAAATGTTATTCGAAATATCATAAAGATGATGGATGAATTTTGGCACGAAGCCCTTCCAATTACACCTTAAACCCTCTCATTTGTTTGAAATTCGGATTAAAGTGGCTGGTTTTTCTGTTCGAAATACACGATTCTGGTTGGCGCTGAAAATGCATGAAAGTTCACATCGCTCCTTGCAAATAATCAAGTTGCTATTGAAGTGATCATCCGCTAGTATTTCAACAGCACTTTGAGCAGCGAATTTTCAAATTTTTAACCCTCGTGAAAAGAAAGTTGCATGAAAAAGTAGCCAAAAGATGAAAGTATTGCAGGAAAGTTTAGCAGATCAACTGATATTCCCACCTGATAGCATCCTGTGCATGGGTTCCCTTATGACCATGAATGCATTGACTCGTTCTACTTTCGTGGCCCCCCTCCTTCCTTTCCTGAGGATATAGTTTTGCAAGAAAGTACTGCCAGATTTCGTGTTCAAACAGTAGGCGTATGATCTAAAGAGGCAACAATTCGCAGAATGTTAAATGCCCAAATTTGTGTGATGTTATTTATGGATCAATGAAATTTGTGGGAAATTGTTTATTTATGGATCAATGAAAAGTTTGTGGACCGACAAGCCGCGGCACACATAAAAACGAGAACAACTAGCCAAGGTGCTAGTAACTAGCCAAGATTATTCAGACCTGAAGTTTTTTTAGAAAATCTTTTTCTGAAATTTTACTCAAAGCGTTCAAAACACTATTTTAATTGGTATTCTTTAGTATTTTAGATTTGTTTTTATGCATGCCATTTCCAGTATTCAAAACAGTTTGATAGTTTTTCAATTGCTAATTTTGCAGATCCACAAATATTCAACCAGACTTTTTTGCGAGGGGGGAGGGGGGAGAGGCTTATTGCAAAAAAAGTAATATCTTTTCTGATTTTGACAAATGCAACAAGAAAAAGTAAATTGAAAATTGATTTTTTTAATGAAGCTTCAATAAAATTGAAAATTGATGTTTTTAATGAGGTCTCTAATTCCATAGAATGCATCAAAGTTCGTTTAAGAAGCTGCTAATCACATCCTACATTCTGGGCTGGGAGCCGCTAAAACACTACTGAACTTTGGGTTACTTGGAGTCGCTGATAACGCTTAGGGCACTTGGCACATGATACCGCAGTTCTTTGAGTCCCAAGGGTTAAAAAAAACAGTGTTCTTAAAATAATTTTACCCAAGTACACCCAAGTAGACCAAAGCTTCTAATCATTTAATCGCCTTTTCTAACTTCGTGTCATACAATTCCAGTAAGTTCCATATGTCAAAAAAAACTTCTGGATATAAGTCTGGGCTGCGTTATAGACAAAATCCAAGTTTCAAGTTTTTGCATGCATTTTTTTCATAAAATGTTTGTTTGAGCAAAGAAGTGAGTTTTCGTCTGTAACGAAGATTTTTTACAATGAATTTGGGTTTTTGTTTTTGGGACTCTGGAATTAAGGATCTTTCGTAGTCAAGTAACAATTGCTTATTATACAAAAAATAAACAGGAAAAAAGTTTAATAAAAAAATTTCCGCTTTTGAACTTTCAAGATAACTATGATTATTTTAGGGCATTGAATGACACTCACTTTCTGTAAAAAGATCAGCCCAACTTATTATGACTGGAATCTAAACTTTTAATTTCTAGTCATAATAAACTGAATTAATTTTCCTCATTTACATAAATTTCAACGAAACACTTTGTACTAAAAATCTAAATGATCCGGCCTTTTAAAAAATGGAGAGGAATTTTGTTTTCGGTTGTTTTGAACAATTTTAAATTTGTTTTAAATGGCCTACAAACTCTACGTCGACTTGCATCAGAAGGTCACAGAAAAAACGCCTTTATCCAAGAGGTGGTCAGCAAGACGGTCTTCATCTAAGGGTTTGTGGATTGAAAAGGTGAGAGATTTTAATGCACTTGAATTCGAAGATGGGCAAAACAATTTAGTTTTAGGTAGCAGTATTGTACATTAGTCAACCTTGGATGACACCATTCCCCTTGATTGTGCATTTCATGCTTGTCGTGGAACTACCACAAAAGGAAAAATAAACTTATTCGAAAAATACGAAGCAGAAAAATTCTAATTTTTGTTCTGGAGGATGGTACCAATATTTTGATGAAATCCAAACAAACGGTAAACAAAAATTTTGACAAATATGTGGCTAAGTTTAACTGTTGACGATCTTTCAAACGATGTTTTCGTTATTTGTGAAGTTATACTAATTCGCAAAAGCGCCGAAAATGAAACAAAGTTCAAGAGCTCATCAACTGTAAATATGGCTAAGAAGGCGGGAAATTTGTCTTGTTCGAAATAAACACTCCAAAATGCTCCAAAATTTCTCTAAATCAATCACTACAAACAACTATACCATGAGAACTTACATCTAAATTATAAATAGTCTGCAAAATGCCCTTCTGTCGAATTTTTTGAAAACCTCGACTGGGTTCTTAGATGCATCAAAGACTTCATTGAAATCTAAACAAAAAATTTAGCGCTATTAGCGCCGATTTGAGACGCAGCCATACAAGGCCCAACAAAATACTCACAATTTGAAAAACAACGATACTTCAAACTATAGTCATCGTCCATATAATCGCTACTACCAAAACTACTACTGAGGCTGTTACATAAATTTACCGGCTGTTTTTGTTATTTTATTTAAATATTGAGGTTAACCCACGTTTGTTTTTTGTACTGTCACATTAATGGCCTTATCTCTTCCCACGCATTTGGTCTCGATTTCTGTGATGACAGTACCAATTAAGTCTCAAAGCAAGAAGAACTTTAGAATAAGATTGTCTTAATGGCAAAACGAATTTCCTTTTTGAAGGACTGATTACTTTAATACTTCTATCAGGTGACATAGAACGCTATCCCGGTTCCGATGCATATTGGAAAGTATTTGAACGGTGTTATGTTCTGGATAAAAATTTTTACTCTTTCATTCAAATCGCCGAAGCTTGGCAAACAAACGTCAGTTCAAAAACCTAGTCAATGATTTTGGGAAAATACTATATACGGCTAAACCGAAACTTGAGTTACCGATAGGGACACTTCAAAGCTTCTTAAAACTGATAAAAACAGTTTTTAGGTAATACCTAGGGATAGAAAAACATCAAAAGATGAAGGCCTTCTATTTCTAGTTCCGAAATCTTTCTAAGTGAGAGTCAAGGATGACCTAATCCCAATGAACTTAAACTTTAAATTTCTACGGATCGAAGTAAACCACAAATTGATCAAAGAGCTCCTTTTAATTAATTTATCATACTGTCCGCATAAACAGATGTAAAGAACTTTTTTTCAAAATTTTGCAAAATCGATTGATCTCGCATCAATTTCGAGATCAAAAATAATCATAATGGAACACCTTAACATCAATTATCTAACCAAATTAGAGAAACAGATTTAAGATACCATCTTTTGCCCTTACGGAGTTGAAGTGCTCAATAAGTCGCTTCCTAGTGGCTACTGCGACAATATGGGTCTAAATGACTACATTATAATTGATAAAAATTAAACATTTCTGTCCTCCCATTCAATTCCTCTTTCAATTCGGGAAAAGCAGCCGCTATCAATTCGGAAAAAGGTCTAAGCCTACCAAGCTCGGAACTTTGTTACCATCCTCGAACTAAATTGCTCCTCTGCATCAAACGCTCCTACAGTAAGATATTGGGTAAAAGTGGTATTACGAAAGGCATTCTGCTACACAACAATATCCCATTCAAATACGTGAGCGATATTGATTCCACGGGTAATGTAAGAACAAAGATAATATACAAAAACTTTTTTCTTGACCAATTTAAGGACCCAGGCCAAGTGACTTATGATAAAGTATGTTGTGTTGGAAAGAGTCTAGGGTGATCTAACATACGTACAATTTTGCTAATAGTTATTATAAACTACACTAAAACTGAACACTGCCTATTTTTGTGTCATTTGTATAAATGTAACACACTAACGGGAAATTCATTGTTTCCTTTTTTAACGGTAATTCGAATGACTCTAAAAAAAAATATTTTCCCAGTATCGAGAAGAACTGGTTTGAAACTTTAGGCGTTTTGTCGAAAAACGAGCAAATAAAGCAGCCGATCAGGCTTAAAAAAGCTCAATTATGATTAATTCAAACCTTAGAAACAAGTTTTGTTCAGCTGAATTTGTTTTTGGAGTTAATTTGTGCCTTGTTGGTATCAGAAACATTAAAAAAAAAAAACTTTTTTTAGACGTAATGAAAGCTTACATTAGCTCTATTTCAAATATAAAAACATAGTTTTAATCGAAGGACGGTAGTTTCTTTGAATATTTCAGCGCCTTTTTGGAATCAAAAACTTAAAAAACCTAAAAAAAAAAACGTTTTTTTGTTTGTTTTTCTAGTCATGTTTTTTACAAAAATTATTTTTCAAATTGCTTAATTTACTATGCTGTCAAATAATCCTAAGCTCACACCACACTTTTTTTGAGGTTTCTGGTTGGAACACTCTGTGCTACTTGCACACTACCCGGTTATCTTTGTTTAAGCTACGAAGATTAGTGATTTTATTTAGTTGCTGCAAATCAAAAATTATCAGTCTCTGAATCAATTTAGAACCATTTCAAAAAAAGGGACTCTGGTGGCAATTGAAAAACTTTTTTTAAACTTAGTATAAAACCAAAAGATCACTGGTTTTGAAAGTTTGAGAACTTCTGCGGTCCATATTCATTTAGTTTGCCAATATTTTCAATTTACCGAACATGCAAAATAATGAAACTGAAATGATTGAAGATGCTTGGTTGAGATCAAAACAATTCAGACATTTAGTGCTTAAATTTTGACCATAATAGAAATTTTAAATTGAATTCACTGATTTTTGTTCCTATGTCATAAACTGGTGGCCACTTGTATCTTTTATCTATTCTAATTTCGGCAACTATATTTTCCGTCTTTTTCATCAACTTCGCTTCATCAATTTCGTAGTTCGATCGTAAGAAACCGCTATAGAGAGATTGGGTCAATCTGCAGTTTCAGAGAACAATTTTGGCATGATCGGATGTCGAAATGTTTTTGATATGATCAAGAAGACTTGGCACTTGTGAAATGTTTTGTTTGATATAGAGTTTTGGCATTTAACTTCTGCTAAAATTTTGTTGATCAAGTTTTGCTGCTGTAGAAGTGCTATCGCTCGAGAAATCAGAGCCAGTGACTCTCAGTGTGATACGAGAGGCCTGTTATAGTTATAGTGTTATATTAGGCGACAGACACTGCATAATTCATGCTACATGAAATAATGGATTAGCAATTTTTTTGGTATTTATATCAGACATTTTATCACGATTTCATTCAAAATTGTTCGCGCTTAAACTAATGACGCCATTATAGCGCGAAAGTGAAAAAACTAAAATTAGATTTGCTTAGACAAAAGGCCTTGAAAACTACTGGTTTGTCCGATTAAGGTCAGTTTGCCATCAAAATGTTTATAGATTTTTGAGATTGTTGAAA